TCCCAAGAAGTAGACGAAGATGACACGATGACTAAGGCGACGAAGACGAGCTGAGTAAGGACTGGCCGATGTTTGAGTTTTTTCCAAAAATTTATTTGTGATCGTACTGTTTTTCTATTAACAAATGCAAATTTTTTGTTTAATATGTCTGTTCGTAATATTTTCTAGTGAATGGATAAAGTTGGGGTACAGTCCTCAGTATTTTGTTGTTTTGTGCTAGAAAAAATATTTATAGAAGCGTGTTTAAACTCGCTCTAATTAAGGATTAAGGCCCTTTAAATGGGCTCATTTTGTACTTCAAGCACAAGTAGATGTCTATGAAATAATATCCTAGGTCCTAAGTGTTACGTTCGAGAGTCTCCTTTCGTGCCCGGCTCATGCTGCAGCGATATGTACCTAACAAATTCCAAGGCTTTACCTTAATTCACAAAGGTCATCACCAACACTTATATATACTTCGGCTACCTGAATTTCACCGCAAGTGAAAACAAGAGGCCCACTGCCGGCTAAATACCGCGCGCATCGCTTTGGATCCGACGAAGCGCTTTTGCCGAAAGATATTTCGACTCTGTCGTCGCGCTTTGTCGGATTGGACAGCGACCTCACGGTTGACCAAAGCGTACTCACACCAGAGGTGAAGTTGCAAGTCTTTTGATGCTCTTCCCACTTCTTTCGCTTGTGTACGTTCACAAGCTGCCGAATCTCCGCATTGAGATCCCTGATGCGGGGATTTCCGGGATCGGCCTAACGAAGTTTGTCACGCTCATCGGCTACAACAGCCGCTTCAGCAGGAAAGTTCGGACGGGGTCCGTTATACATCCTTCTGGTACGAAGCGAGCTGCAGCAGCAGTGACAATCTTGCGGATATTACGCAAGCCCAAGTGGACGTCTGTTGGTGTGGGGAGGGCAGCAAATTCCGCAAAGCCTTTCCAATCAGCTTTAGTAAAGTTGATATATGTAGGTTCGGTGTTCCGCGGAAGCAAAGTCGGCAGGTTTATCGATCGAGTTGACTATGGGCAGATGGTCTGATGCTAAGGTCAGCATAGGTCGCCATGATATGCTGTCTATCATATCAGCGCTGACGATTGTTATGTCTGGCGAGCTGCAGGTGTTGCCCATAATCCTGGTGGGTGCGTTTCGATTGCTGATTTCGAAGATGTTTTCGATCTTCCTCTTCATTCGATTCGATCGTAACTCAGAATACCAAATTACGACTGTTGTGGCGCGGAATGCGGGAACGTAATCGAAATGCAGAATAGGGCTGAATATAACACATATCGACCTTGCGGCAAAGAGCCTTGCTGGCCACAGCTCAATAGCCATAGGGCACGTAGCTACCACAGACTACATGGTACCTTGCTACAACTGGGATAAGGAGTTCCGGGTTGCTATCGAAGAAAACGGATGGCGTAGAGGCATGAAGCCTAACCGGAAGACATTCAACATCTTCACAGACGGCTCAAAAATGAATAATGGAGTAGGAGCGGGAGTGTACTGTACAGAACTTAATGTTCGCCGGCCATCAAGCTGCCGGATCACTGCAGTATATTCCAGGCAGAGGTTTTCGCACTGAGAAAAGCCGCTGAGCAAGCCTACTCAATACTTCGAATATATTCAACTGAACCTCTATCACCATCTAGCATCACTAGGGACCTATTGGTCTATGTGGGGCGGTCAGAAATCCAGAATAACCTAAAGGCGTGTGCATGATGCACATAAATTAGGACAAAATAACTAGAGCGTTTATGGAATATGCAATACAAATATTTTATTAGAAGATAGAATATTTCGAGCAAATTACATATTCGAATATGTTTGCAGATACATACAAAAGACAATACTTTTATTTACTTGCGTAAAAATATTATAATTAATACTTAGAGGATAAAAAAATTTATTTTTGTATTAACTCTAAATATTGATCTTTATAAGAGAGTATAAAAATTGGCTGGGGTGTGCATTCTTATTTGAAGAATTAATGGAAACGGCTATCCTTGCAACGAAACCGCATGCGACAGGACTACATTAATATCAATAGGTGGATAGTTTTGTAGCAGTTTAACGTTTGATGCAAAGTCGTTCTGGAGAATTACTTCTCTTTGAATTCTGAAATGGGAAATACAAAATGTAATTTTTATGATGAAGTAGTTAGGGGAGTATGCATTTAAAAATAGACAAGTCAAGTCAAAGGGTTTAGAACTTACAAAATCATTGCACAGCATATTCTTATTAAAAATTCGAATCGGTGCTCATCTGCAAAAACAGAATCCCATATGCGAACCACGTCTGGAAGTGGGAACTCTTGTGATAGCAGTAGAGTTATCCACCTAAAATATGTTGTAAAATATAAAATACATAATTGTTATCATTATTTAAATTAAGTGTACTATTTTACCTAAAACTGTAGTATTGCGGATGTAGTTCTTGCTCTTTTAATTTAAAATACACTTCAGGATCTTTATCATTCAACATCTTAGCCAATTTCGCCATCATAAATTTAATACCACCTTCCGAATCATCGAGTGTTTTAATGAAAAAGTCACGAATTTCGCTCATTAATGCGGTGAAGCAGAAAAAGCAGTCAGCCTCCGCGTGTTCTATGTATGTATGTATGTTTATATTTGCTTAGTTTATAAAAGTTGAAAAACAAATTGAACATACTTCTGTATTCCAGATCGGGATCAGAGGCCATAATATAATATATTGGACCTACAATCTCATTCATGCCTTGAACATATCCTTGCCCGGGGTTTAACTTAGCATAAAGGAAGAGTATGCGTTGCACTACTTCCCAGTGTGCTTCTTGTCCTTCTTCCATTGCCGCGTAGTTTTCATTGGAACGCTTCGTTATGAGATTTATCTATATATATAAATATGTACGTATACAAATTGACTAATGTTAGATCTATATGAATAGATACTACAATTGACTGATTGCAGTTTACCTGCTACTTCAGCACGCATTGAAAGAAGAAAACATAAGTATGTATATGAACATACCAGTTTTTATATTAAGATATCTTAAACTTGGTCAAGTTAGATGACACAACTTACCTTTGTCATTCCTAAGCCTTTGCGTTCTACATTTGCTGAGCTCAACACAGTGGGCACTACCCGTTGGTGCAGTCTTCTTTCTCCTTTGCTGTGTACCACTATGTCACAAGGATATTCAGTTGCCTGTTGAAAGAATGATATGTCTGGACACAAGCGCCGAACATCTTTGTCGATTTGTAGCAAGAATTCATTGTCTTGGAAGAATGTATTCCAAGCACTTTCTGGCCCTTCACTTAATGGATGATCACTAAGCCCAGAATTATTTTCATTGTCGTTAGAATCACAATTTAATCCCGGCGGGAGAACTAGTTCTTCTATGAATTGTCGATACAATGTGCGTTTCTTGCTAAGAGTTTCCGTCCAAGTAGCCGGCTGGGATCCAAGGTAACCAAGAAGGAATTTCCAACATATTGCTCTGAAGCTACCCACGTCTGGGATGCCTTGAAAGTAAACACAAATTTAGGTTTATTGGACTGCATTTTAATTAAGAATTTTCTATTACCATGAAAACAAAGCTTACGAAGTGAATCAATATCAATTTCGTCCTCGTCCAGCGCTTCCTCAAACTCCTTAACGCTTTTAAAGAATGAGTA